ATGCAAAGAAAAAGAAAATCATGTTTAAAGAGAGTGATCTTTATCATACTGAATGTAAAACAAGTATTTATAATCAACATTTCTCTCAACTTTGTCCACCATTTTTGCATGATGCATTCTAGGATTGCTGTGTGTGTGTTGGAAAATGTGACTATGCCTTGGATTTTAGCCAGACACTATACGTGCATATTTTCTTGGCTAGCGTTTGTCATTTTATTTTCTCTTCTGTATCTGAAAAAAAAAAACCGACAAACAAACTACCAGATCAAATAAGGTGGAAGGTCTTCAAACTCTTTTTGTCATACTTTCTCATTTTGAAATGAGGATGTTTTAAGTAAAGCAAATATCCTTTTTTAATAATTTACTGTTGAATGAAAGTCTGGGCAGTCTTGGACAAGGCCAAAATGGAGAAATTACAGAATATTTAACCTTATAAAAATGAGCAGAGAAGCTGTTAGACAGAATAAAAAGCTTAAAGCTATTAAAGCCCTCAATTATAATTGCACTATTTAAAGCATGTATTGTTTAAAACCAAAAGTCATAAAAATCTAATGCACATTATTTGAATAAAATTAGCTCTTAATTTTCAACTCGGGTTATTTTAAAATCATCCTGGGGGACAGAAAAGTTCACCTCACTGAAGAATCACTTACACACACACACACACACACACACACGTTACACTAATAATACACCCTAATGATGGTGTGACTGAGTTTGCATCCAGTGAAATTAATCAAAGAGTTTTCTCTAAAGTCAATATGATCTCTGCAGCATTGGTTGAGTGAGAACCATGAGAATATTCTAAAATGTGATTTGCATTTCAAAGCAATATTAACAAACAAAGAAACAGTCAATTGAATTGTATTTCAGATGGCTTACATGAAAGACAGTGGGGCTAAACTCTGCCAGTCGATGTTTGGCTTTACATTTTGAAGTCCTTTATCCTGCTTTGGGTTAGCAGTTGTGCTCCAGCCCTCTCTTCTCTGATGTGTGGCCTGAGTTTCATTTGATTTCCTCTCATACTTACAGCAGCACAGCTTCTGATCTTGTTTAATACTAGTCCAGCGGCAACAAATTACCAATTTTCAGAAATGAGCAGAGGTAGGCAGCTCTAAATCCTATAAAATGAGTCGCTCTTTCTTTCTTCTTAGAGAAATATACAGCGTTGGCAATAATTCGGGCAAAATCAAAATAAAAACACACACCTCAATTTTTTCCCTCTGTGGATTTAGGCGAGCAGCTTTCATTGCAGGCACGTGCAGTGAAATTTAGGTAAGTGTTTTGTGAAATGCAATTTGACGAAGCCGTTTATAAGATTTGTTCGGTGCTGCTGTTTGTGTCGGTGTGTTTTCACTCTTGTTTTCTCATTAATATCAAATGCTGTAAGCCACAATAAAACGCAGAAAACACTCATTCGTAGGCCTGCTTGTGCACTTTGCATCACTAGAGAAAAAGCAATTATCCACAGCGCAAGGTTTTATGTGTTGCCGATGTTAACGTTACCTTGATCCCTTCAATAAAAACGCACATTGAATCTGACAATAAAGCGACATTCATATTGCGGACAGTGACATTCATATTCAGCCTCAAATAAATCATGCAAGTCGATGTGTGTTAATATATGCACTGAGAAAAAGATGCAGTATTATAGGGTCACAACTCAACAATAACAATTTTCAAAAAATATTGGAAAATTAGGTGATGTGATTTATATATAATCTTAGTATAAAAGATGACACATTCAAAAGATTAGGGTTGTGTGTGGGTGGGCGTGTGTGTGTTATATGAAGGCCTTTAATGTTTAGCCACAAACTGCCACACAACAATATTCAGAATAGCATACTTTGCTCTATGCTGTAGTCAGTATACACAAATTATGCTTATGCACACAATTCGCCAATGGCCTAATACATTTCCCAAAACATGATACTTTTCAGTGTGACAAGATGGAAAAACAACTATAATATACTTTTTTTTTTAAATGGTAACTTCATGCCAGTGAATTAAACACATAACGCAATCAGGTCATGTGACAACAAAGATATTTCTGCTAATAATGTTTATCATGGCATAATGCCTGCTGTTCTGCATGTGCAGTATGCAGTAAGTATGCTTGTATACATTCTGAACATAACCATATATACCCATAGACATGAAACTGGCCTTGAGAAATGACACTTACCTCACAGAGAAGGTGAACTGGTCTAGCTGATCTTTAGGGAGAGGTTTGAGCGCCTCACTGTTTCTCTCGATTATCTTCTTCTGCCTGCCGCTCTGATCGGAGAGACACATGTGCATGTCATTTGTAATCATAGCAGGAAACAGTTGCAGTGATTTATCTTGGGAATACAATGACAGCAGCACACTTCACCCTGACATCATCTCTCAAACACACACACACAAGCACAAACCAGTACAGGAAACGAATGACATTCACATTACAGACAACATCTAATCAAAGTTGTCAGAAAGACAGAGATGGGATGAAATGAAATGAAAAGAAAGACAGTCACACAAAATTAGACAAAAACAAGAAATTATATGTTTAAAGCAACACACCTGGCACACTCAAACTACTGAATTCAGCTCTATAAAATCATTATGAGTCAACAATCTATATAAAAAAGCACCAGAAGTGTGTTTCCAACTCAAAGGATATTCCAAAAGAGAGGCATCATTTTAATGCTGTCTCTAAATATAGTATTTTGCCCATTTCTTGCAAAATATGATGATTATAAACAGTACTTCATTCAATGCTGAAAAATATCAGCAAAAACAGTTCAGTACAATTAAACAGTCTATATTATCCAATACTTACGTGTTTTATTTTATTTGTGTACTTTTTTGCTTATTAGACTATGGTATTGATAACTTAGCAACATGTTAACAACATAATTATTCACTTGAGTAGAGTCTCCCATGGTAAAGTGTACACTTTTGCTAATTTATGAGGTTCCTTTTTACTTAAAATGTAGGTAGCTCTCTAGGTTGTTAAACAGAGCTTTTTGGGTGCCGAGTAGACTTTGGAAGACAGTTCATATCATTTATATGTCATTTATGAAGGGCTGCCCTACAGTCACAAGAATTACTGCATGCAATGAAATCAAAGCAATATATTCAAAGGATAAATGTGAAATATGAACTGGCAACAAAACACAGAGTTTTTCTTCTGTAAAAAAATGATATACTGGAATACTGTATCCGACAACATATTCTGCCACAGAACCTGGCCTGTTGGAAACCTGAGGATGACAATATGAAAGCTGCTTGTAGCTTCTTTTTTTTTAACCACACATAAAATCTTCCCACTATTTGACAAATATGAGCAAAATCGGTGTCAGGTGTTTCTGTGAGTCAGGGGAACTAGCCAATCAGAAACTATCTGCCTGTCAATCATTTTGCATATAATGTATGCTTTAAAGGGTGTTTTGAGGAACATGTGGTTGGGATTAGAAAAATAGCAAAAGTTAGCCAAACGGCTGAAATCACTTAAAGCACAGAAGAGTCATACACAATAAAAAGGAAATTCAGTGATTTAAAATAATTGTTTTAATCTAGTCCATTCTTTTAACAGCATGAGTCAGTCATGGATATGTTGGACCCAGTTGTGGATTAAAACACCAGTCATGGTGGAGACCAATCAGAAACGTTATCTGCAGAATTAGCCAGATATCCTCTCATAATGAACCACATTCAAGCCTTTTAAATCAACAATAAAATCAACACCACTCAATACATTTCAACCTAAAACTGAGTCAGCAGGTTATTAAACTCTCTACTGAAACTTCCAGCACCAGGGCCCAGAGCTGTAACCACCACAGACATTGAGGGGAACAATAATTAGAAACAGCCAAACTGTTCCCCCAATAACTGTAAATATTTTAAAATCTTGCATTGCTCTGCTGCACTCCATTATGTAGTGCTATGTCCGTTGTTAGGATGACAAAAAGATTTAAAAGTTGTCTGGCTTGCCTCAGGGGTCTAACAATGTTCGTCAATGGTTCGTCAAATGACTGAGATGGCCAATCAAATCAAAGTAGGTGGAGTTTACCGTTCACATAATCAGAGCACAGATTCCAGCATCAGTTTTATCAATGAAGGACAGACAGGTAAGAGCAAAGCATTTAACAATTGATAATTGTTTTATGATAGACCAACATGACTGACAAAATGATAGACGATGATATCCAGCGATGCAAACTACTCAATTTTGTTCTCAAAAATAGTAATTTAGCTATCATCTATGTGATTTATGTAATTCCTAACTGAATGTGATGAGACAAGAAGCGTTTTCCATTTTCAACATATTAGGCATATGAATAAGAGTTAAAGTGCGCATGTTTTCAAATATTATTTGCAAATAGTTCAAAATCATTACTTCGCAACTAGAATTACACTTATCATTTTTATTTTAACTGTAAATATTTTAAAATCTTGCATTGCTCTGCTGCACTCCATTATGTAGTGCTATGTCCGTTGTTAGGATGACAAAAAGATTTAAAAGTTGTCTGGCTTGCCTCAGGGGTCTAACAATGTTCGTCAATGGTTCGTCAAATGACTGAGATGGCCAATCAAATCAAAGTAGGTGGAGTTTACCGTTCACATAATCAGAGCACAGATTCCAGCATCAGTTTTATCAATGAAGGACAGACAGGTAAGAGCAAAGCATTTAACAATTGATAATTGTTTTATGATAGACCAACATGACTGACAAAATGATAGACGATGATATCCAGCGATGCAAACTACTCAATTTTGTTCTCAAAAATAGTAATTTAGCTATCATCTATGTGATTTATGTAATTCCTAACTGAATGTGATGAGACAAGAAGCGTTTTCCGTTTTCAACATATTAGGCATATGAATAAGAGTTAAAGTGCGCATGTTTTCAAATATTATTTGCAAATAGTTCAAAATCATTACTTCGCAACTAGAATTACACTTATCATTTTTATTATAAAGGACTCTCCCAATAGTCAAGACATGGCCAAATACTGACCGCTCAGTTTAATATTAGGATGACATTTTGTTTTTGTTTATTGAAATTTACGGTGGTCTGCCAGAGGTCTAACATTGGCAGTTGGCCAGTCAAATTAAAAACAAGAACAACAAACATGAAAGGTAAAGCTTCAGAATTAAGTTTTAAGAGGGGTAAGTAGATAAGCATTTGATGTTTAAAAGTTAAATGATAGACAATTAAATCCAGTGGTGCAATGTATTCAGTCTGTTCTGTCCTACACTCTTAAAAATAAAGGTGCTTCACGATGCCATAGAAGAACCTTTTTGTCTAAATGGTTCCATAAAGAACCTTTAACATCTGAAGAACCTTTTTGTTTCACAAAAGGTTCTTTGTGGCGAAAGAAGGTTCTTCAGATTATAAAAAGGTAAGAAAGAGATGGTTCTTTAAAGAACCTTTGACTAAATGGTCCTTTACGGAACCAAAAATGGTTCTTCTATGGCATCGCTTGAAGAACCTTTTGAAGCACCTTTATTTTTAAGAGTGTATTTTGCTTTTTGAATTGAAAATAGGCTTTATCATTTACATTATTCATGTAATGTATTTCATGCCTATACTCATATTCTATGTTTTGTCCTCTTTCAGGGTAGTTGCTTAACTTCACGGGACTGGACCAAATTTGTCTTGAAGACCCCCTCCTCCAGACACACTACGTACTAGTAACGCAGCAGTAGTTTGGCATTATAATAATTCTTCACAGTTCCTCTAAAATACTGTAGCTTTGTAGAAACAGAAACCGTGGTAGATAAAACTAGCCAGACATCCCCTCATAATGAGCCCCATTCAAGCCTTTTAAACCACCGATAAAATCAACACCACCAAGAAAATTTGACTCAGGAACAGGGCAAAAATGGGGGTCTAATTCTGACCCCGCATAGCTCAAGCATGCAGCAGTGTATTAGAGCAGTCATAATTGGAGTCCATTAGAGTTCAGAAGTAATTTTGAGCGGGGTGCTGATATTGTTTGTTAGTCTGGCATTCAGTCTGATGCACTACGCCCTTGGGTGGGCTCAGACGCGCTGCTGCAGCACAGATACTGCCTGCATCTACATATGAAAGATCACTGTCACCAATCCAGAAATGAAAAACACATTGGACCACATACAGCAAACTACAGAGAAGAACACAACAGAGAAGAACATAATAGCTAGAGAAAAAGAAGAAAAAGAAGAAGGAGGAGGGGGAAAAAACAAGATATATATGCCATTATGTTGAACTGTATGGCTGACTTCCAGATTTAGGCAGGTATGACATTGTTCATGTCATCACTAGACTACTGCTGAACAATAGTTGATAAAAGAAGCTGCCAAATATAAATATACCATAAAATGTTAAATATGTTTCAGAAAAAGTATGTAAGCAATATGTTCTTCAAATTGAATACATGTCTTAGTTGTGTATCAGAGTTTTCATTTTAAGATCATCCCCTTATTTTTTTTTATTGATTTGAAGAGTTCACTTAAAAGGATGATTTTGTCATTATTATATTATATACAGATGTAATTGTTGATAGTGATGCAATACGTATAATGAGGATCATTTCTAATACAATGTGCACAGTTCCATTCCTGTGATTAATCTGCAGATGCATGTAAACTGCTGCGAGTTTGCATGTTCCTGGCATCCCATGACAACAGTAACAACAAAGACTAAAGTGGCAGGAGAGAACACACAATGCACAGTTGTGCAACATAAGACAGCAGCACCAGATCAGCACAGAGAAGTTATTTTGCAATTACCACTTCAAAGTGCGGCAGGTAACGTCGCAGCTTTGATTAATTTAGCTTAAGTCCTGTGGAGCGCAGGAAAAGGCATGTTGAGAGCAGTTAGAGAGAGAGCACCAGGCTGGCACTGCTGATTTCACAGAATCTGAGCTGTTTTGGCTTGTCGAGCACATCAAAACTAGCTTTGAAGACTGAAAAATACCTGTTAGTGTGAAATGTATTTTGACAAATCTCAGATAATAAGGGGAGTAGGGAGGCAAAAGGGATGAGCAGCAGGGGCGTCATGCACCTTTTTTTTTTTTTTGTAAAGGGGGCATTAGTGGCGGTCCTGGCTCACTTGGTGCCTTGGGCTAAATAAGACATGACTAAAGAAATAAACATGTAACGTAAATGAAACAAATACTATAGTACACTTGCTAGTAAAGTTTTTTTTTTTTTTTTTTTTAAAGTCATATGAGTTTCATGAGATTCCATGCACACAGAATGTTTTTGCACACTATGCATACCATGCCAAAAATAGTATGATAGTACAGAAGAATGTGTAATAATTCAAACACTTTTTTACCTACTTATTATTACAAAATAAGATTACCTGATTTCTTTTTTTTTCCTTTCTATTTTTCTTCCCCCCCCCCCCCCCCTTTTAATCTTGCAAGCTTTTAATCTTCCAAATGTTTGAATGGGCATGGTGCCTCTGAGGAGAAGTGAGAGAGAGGGCCCATGTTCAAGGTCAGAATGTTTCCTCATTCAAGTTACCTTGCTATGAATGTCGGCCTTGGTTTTCTCAGCGATGGGGCGGTTTGTCTGGTTGCTGGGCTCAGAGGCTGACGCAGCTCCACTGGGGCTCTTACCTGCAATGGCATTACAAATGAACCTTTGCTCTTGTAAGGCGGAAAATAACTTATGATCAGTGATTTATGGTTTAATTAATTAAATGAGTATTGCATAATCTCTAACTTTACAGATGAAGCACAAAAACAGAAACTTCACATTTTACAGAAATAGTTCACATTTAACGTAAGGTAAAACAAAATAAAACTAAAATGAAATGAAATGAAATATAATGTAATAAAATAAAATAAAGCAATTTGACAATTTCAGCATCTTTTAAAATAAATTAAATAAGTGAAAATTTAATTATGTAAATTATATATGATACCTATACAGCACAACTAATGAGAATGGTAAATGCATGTAGACTTTCAAAAACAATGAAATGTACAGCTAAAGCAAAAGTGATGAAACTTTCTCTTCACATTTATTCTGTTCTTTCTCTCCCTCACACACATCATCAACATCTCTGAGCCCAACCTCTCCTTTTTTTTCATTGCTCTAATGCACACAATTAGACATGATGAAAAATCGAAAAAAAATTAAATTTAGTTGTAATACATTTTGCCATTCTTCCTTCCTTTGGAAAATTACTTTTGAAGTGTTTTCTCTCGCTCTCCGTCTGTAATTTAAATGGTAAGCTGCCAGATGTGTGTCTCATGCTTGAAGTGCAGGAGCTTTGCATTATTTAGCATATTAACATTCACAGAATTTAAAAAAGAGGGTTCCTGCATTGCCTGGAGCTTCCAATTAAGTAAACCTTAGCTTGATACATGTAAAAATTTTACCATGAGAAACTTTTTTCATTGCGTTTTTTCTCTTCAGTCACATCTATATAATAAATATGGAAACTTCCCAGATGATATAATTTTTCTCTTGCTGCGGGATTAAATATATCAGTAATAACTTTTAAATATAGGCAACGTATCAGGAAGGCTTTAGAAGACTCAAATAGGTTTTAATAGCAGGAGCATTCAGGGCTGGTATGTCCTCAGTGCTGTTTTTGAACTGATATTACATTTAATCTGAACACAGATGTAGATTTTAATTACAAGTTATACTAGTAAACATTTGAGATGCCTACAGCTGAAAGCATTACATCTGCCCTATCTTAACATAAATATGGGTGGTTATTTCATTATAATGAATGCATAATCACTTTCAATTGCATGGCTTACCTCTGATGCACTGTCTTTTCACTGTAGTGACAAGCCTTAAGAAATACCGTAGACAATGGAAACAAATTACAGACATTTTCTACTGCTGAAGCTTGAAAAAGTCAAGTGTTGGAGGGGAAATTTGTCTTCTACAGAAGATATGTCAGTCTGTTTTCTCTTGGAAGAGACACAGTTAATGACCCACGAAACCATATGGAGTTATATGTAAAAAAGGTTTATTCAAAACCTTCACATTATGAGACCGGCCCCAATGGCTTTCTGCCATTCAATATTGGTGTGTTTGGTTCATAATGGTTTTGTAATCATTTCTTCACATGGTTGCTTCCAACAGTTTGTTCCAGTTTTGTACCAGGGGAGATAATAGCCTATTTTCTTTTCAATGTTTAAACTTCCTGCACTATATTATTATTTTGTCCAACATGTTGCTCATTAAAAGTGTCCGGACGGTAGCGATGCATTAATTAGCTTCAACAATGGTGTTACATCTCCAAGGTAAAAGGTAACAATTGTGAAGGCTGACAAGTTTAGCAAAAGTTTAAAAAAAAAAAATAACAATTTGCCTTTTTTTCCCCCAACAATGATACTTTCGACATGCATCATCAGAATTAAAAAAAGATACTGACACAGTAATAAAGACATTAGCCTTACATAAACCGAAGACCCCTATCTCTGCCGTGTGCAGTGCATACATTTTTATCGAAGGTTTAGCCTGTTCCAATCTACGGCCTGCAGCTATGTGGAGCAAAAGTCTGCCCCCCACCTCTGTTCTGTGTCCAGAGAATGTAATTCCTGTCAGCAGAGCATTCTGCCTGCCTTTGCGCCACGATCATGCATGTTTTAATGGGCCAGCCAACACAACTTTGCAACTTTGCCTTTAATTATCCTTCCTCCAGCCTGATGCTCAGATGGTGTCGGGTCTGAATTAGTGCTATATATATAATACCAAATTATACAATATATAATTGTATAATTATATTATTATTACTGTATGAATAATAACTGTATGAATAATATTATTATTGTATGAATATAATTATTCATACAATCATACAAGTTAAAATAATGTACTACATAATTTAGAACTATAAATTTATCATCATCATATCATTTATTTAAAAAGAGCATTATAGAGCATTTTATATCATATGACATTATATTATACTTTAATCATTATAGAGACGTACAGAGGCATTATTTTACAGTCATTCCCAGGTTCCATGACTGTGGGAATCGTGAGCTTTTTCAAATATTTGAAACTTAGCAAGTATCTGCGTATTTACAATGATATAATGTTTAAAAATCTGTATTATGCAAGGCTTGTCACTTCAGAACAGTTTGTTTTTCTTCACATAAGCTAAGCAGCCTTTGGGAATGTCTGTCCGACTCCATCACCCTCACCACATGAGGCTATGTTTTCTCATCAACCAAAAACCGAGTTTGATGCAAGCAAGGTTAATTCATCCGTTTAAAGATGGGCAGTACTAAATTAATTGGGGTAAAAATGCAGTGTGATTTAGTGAGTATGATCCAGTATTAGGGTTATCTGCAGTGAACGGGACTGGCCCCTCAGGGTCAATATAAAAGAGCACGGCTGTGTTCCAGAAACACTCTAAGAGCAAATCTTGGAAATTGTCATTGCGCTAAAGGGCCGAGTGTACTACGATGCATTTACTTAAGGGGCAGGATGCAATCAAACACAGCTTCCAAAAGCCCCACTGCATGCAGTTACAGATCCACTAAGGGTGATCAAAGCAGAAAGGTCTAATTTAATTAGTCATTTGAATTCAAACAGACCTAGTGTAACTGGATCGTTCACTTAATGTGAAAGGTCAGTTAACTCATAACGCCTGCAGCTACGTCATATGTTGCAATGAACATAGAAATGAGGGAAAATAATATTAGCCGTCAGTGCTCCTATTTGACATGTCTGAGCATTATAATAATACCCAAGAATGACAAGGAATGTACCTGTATTCTCAGCTGATTTTTGAAAAGAAAAAGACTGGAATGAACTGAGAGACAGCTATATAGAGTGTAATTATTATTATTATTATTACTATAAATGTCCCAATAAACAAAAAAACTAAAGTCAAGCTAAAACAAATAATAATTTTAAACATATAAATATCAAACAATGTTATATAATTAAATTATATAGATCAGTATTCACCCCCCCCCCCCCCCCAAAAAAAAACACATCTCAAAAAAGGTGCCAGATAAATCTACCATAGTTAGCAGAAAAGACACGTGATAAAAAGCGTTAGTCCGTGAAGCCAAAGTTGGATGTTCTCTATTTGCAGTTTTTACTCACTGAATTTGATTTTCATTTCAGAGTAATGTGAGGTTGTCAGTCCAATCCTGCTCTCTCGCTTGATGGAAATCCTCCATCTGAATATCATAAGAGTGTGTAGCAGTAATGCAACCTGAACTGATCCTTATGCTAACGTCATCTCTGCTCAGCGGTTTGACGCTGTGATGTCCAGTGAAGAACACCTTTTGATCACTTATTCGAGTCAGATTGAGTTTTCTTCTGTTTGTCCGATACCTGCTTCTTTTTCATCCTATTCTTTCCTTCCTGCCTTTTTTTTTTTGGCATGTATAGTAAGCAGAACATAACTCTCTCAGAGTGCCATAGCATGGGGACACTTCCCATGTGGGGTGTTAGGAGCACAGTGGGAGGTCAAGGTTCACGGCAGAGAGGAAGTGACAAGCTGTGAAATGTAAAAGACCAATTTCTTCCACATGTTGCGGCGCTCTGAGAACAGCGCCGAGCTGTCAGCTAGCATCACGCTTAAAATGGGACAGGTTGCTACCCAGCAGACCTGTCACAACTCATTTGTAATTAAAAAGCCTATGTGATGTTTAAAGCTGAGCACCCCAGAAACTTTTTTTCTGGTTCTGCTCTGTTAAATAAAGATGAGTACAGCCAAAAAAAAAAAAAAAAAAAAACAATGGTCTTTGCGCAAGATCAATACCAAATGAGACTGCATTGGCGTCAAGATGTTCTGTGACCCATGTGAGGACAAAACGCTCGGAGACAGGAAGGCGTGCCTGGGAGACGCACACTTATCGAAGTAAAAACTGCTCTACACATGGACGTGAGTGAAAGGAAACTGCTTATTTGCCTCTTTCCTGTCCAAACTAATCTTTATGCAATGGGAGTGCTGGATATTTAAGAGCATAAATTACATAACTGCTTATAAAAACTAGACTTTTTTTTTCTTCTTCTTAAGAAAATAAGAAATAGTGCTTCCCTGTAAAAACACTTGCCAGTGTAATTCTTGGGTGTGGGAGGTTGCCAGAGCATTATGGTTTCTAAGGTGTCCTGTGTGGTTTTTAGCATAATTCTGTGTGAATAGGGTGTTGTAGGTAGTAGCAAGTAAACTGATAGAGTTGGGTAAACTGGTACATGAGAACACAAAAAATAACAAATCAAATAATTTAAATGCACTGTAATCACTTTAGATATAATAATCTGTCAAATGTATAAAAGTAAATGTTTGCCAGGGCACTGCTTTGCAGTTGCTAATGAGTTCTGGTTTGTTGCTAGTGTGTTCTGAGCATTTTTTTTTTTACTTTTTGCTATACAGTTTCCAAAGTGTTGTAGGTGGTTGCCAGGACGTTCCTAAATTACGTACTAACTCAGTATCCTGAGTGGTTTTCAGTGGCTTAATTTGCAGTTGTTCATTTGTTCTGAGTGGTTTTTAAAGGGATAGTTCACCCAAAAATAATAATTCTGTCATTATTTACTCACCCTCATGTCGTTCCAAACCCGTAAGACCTCCGTTCATCTTCGGAATACAAATTAAGATATTTTTGAAGGAATCTGAGAGCTCTCTGACCCTCCCATAGACAGCAAGGGTCCTTACACGATCAAGGCCCAGAAACATAGCAAGGAGATCAGTAAAATAATCCATGTGACATCAGGGGTTCAACCGTAATTTTACGAAGTGCAAAAGAAAAAGAAAAAAACGACTTTATTCAACAATTCGTCTCCTCCGCATCACCCTAGCGCCATTTTGGAGAGTATCCACTGAACGTAAACTGTGTATGCTGTTTTGTGTCAGCTGTGCCACGCGGTTACGCTGTTTACGTCGTTTACGCTTTGATTTGAATGAAAACAACGTATACACGTGGCGCAGCTGACACGCAATTTACGTCCAATGGATACTCTCCAAAATGGTGCTAGGGTGATGTGGAGGAGACGAATTGTTGAATAAAGTCGTTATTTTTTTTTATGTTAAAGTCATTATCCTTGCTATGTTTCTGGACCTTGATCGTGTAAGGACCCTTCAAAAATATCTTAATTTGTGCTCCGAAGATGAACGGAGGTCTTACGGGTTTGGAATGACATGAGGGTGAGTAATTAATGACAGAATTTTAATTGTTGGGTGAACTATCTCTTTAAGTGATCCTGTGTAAATGCAAAGGTGTTCTGGGTGGTTGCTAGGCCATTGAAGAGAGTTAATCTTAAAAAGTGCCCACCTTCAAGTCTTGATGACTCTTGATTTTTAAATGTGATTCAGATACCAACTTCAGTGTAATGGGATATATGTGTGTGTCTAAATGCTTATAAAAGTAATTGCATGACTCTCCTCAAGTCACACAATTTGAGGAATCATTCATGGCTGAAAAAGTTTAATACTTCAAGTTAGTTGTTTGAAAATTTGGGAGCTTATGACCAAAGTATTGAAACACCATCAAAAGACTGAGGCATATACATGCTGTCTAAATCATTTATAAACAAAATAAGCCAACAAATATGGCATCATTTAAAGACATTAAGCAGGCAACAACACAAGCAAAAGGGCCCAAGTGATGTAAGGTGAAAACAATGCCTGACTTGCTTCATTTGTTACAATGTGACTATGAAGACTTTCAATACAGTGTTCTGCACACAAAGATATGCCACGTGTTTTGAAAGCTTTGATCTCTATGTGTACCGTTCTAAACTCGTATGCTTTTTCCTAAACAACTGGCAAACAATGAACGCACTAGAAAAAAAAAACATTAAGCTAATGGAGGCACACACAAACGAATGAGCCCTATTAGTGATCTCGCTATCACCCCATCCCGCTTAACGTTGACTGCTCATGGTTCAACACAACAATGTGAGCTGGCTTCTGGCTAAGAGTTTTGATTAGAGGAAATATGCGCCATTTGATAACACAGCAATGGATGATGATGATGATGGTGATGATGATGATGCTAGCATTCAGTGAGAAATGTCAATCATGTGAAAAGCTGAACATCTTATGTTAGTGAGCTTCATTTACAGTACAAACAATTTGGCCTAAATGGCACCTATTGTGCTGCACAAATTGGACATGCTTTAGTCTGAATGAAGAAGGTTAATTTTCTCTGCATGAACGCCCCACCAGATTCTAACTGGCAGCTGCCATTCTGCCACTGTGTGGGAGTTTGTGGCGGGCTGTGACATTCTCTGGCATTTCTTCCTTTCGGGG